ACCTGGACAGGAGGACGATTAGGGTCCTCAGTCAAAGCCTTTGGCTCAAAAGCCTAACCGCAAGGTAGCGGTGTTTGGCGGGAAATGCAAATGCATTACCATTTCTACGGAACAAGTCGCCACATGTTCCAACCCCCAACCTGGAGGGCCAGGAGACTGTGTTCGTCAGACCTCTAACCATTGACCAACCTGGTATGAGAGACTCTGTGAGTGTCGCGGGACACTCTCCAGTATAGCTCAATGGATCGCTGAGGTGCGCCAACCGTCACACCACGGTAAGGTCCAGTCTCTTCGTGACGTAACAGAATTCAGTTCGAAAGGAGTATACATTACCTAGGTATGCCATTTTAAGCCAGAATTGAAAGTGAAGGAAGGATCCCCGAGAACCAACAGTCCTGTGGGGATAAACTACTTTTACTGGAGGGCGAGATGGCCAAAGTAGTTAAAGTGCGAATTTACTGACAGGAAGATCCGTGGTTCGAACCCTAACTCTGACTCTAGAATTCCCCTGTCTAGGCTTGGGCAACCTGGCAGTATCCCAGCCCTCGTGCTTCCTTCTGGTGGCATGGCAGTTAGGCACCGAAAGGGTGCTACTGCAGAAAGATTTTTACTTTTACTGGATATGACAGAACTATCACAGGAACTCTCAAGACCGGAACCCGAATGGTCCTAACTATTTTGGGCACAAAAACCTGCCGATGGTCTGAAGGCGGGAAAAATCACCTTAGGCTAGTGAGGGTCACGAAACCCAAAGTAATAAGCTCATGGCGTTAAGATGTGGATGGTATCCAGCCACCAATAATCCTTTGATTCTCTTTACTTCCTGTGAAATATTGCCGACTGCGCCACATTATATTATTTTAGAATGAGACCAAAAACGTCAATACCTACTCGCACTTCCAAAGGCACCATCTACGGGGCAGCTGCTCAATAATATTCCAGGAGTCAGCTTGACGGGCATAGATTTCGCTGCTTTCATTGTTTGAGCTACCTGTTGAACGGCATTGCTTATTGTGAAGGTACAGGGTATTTTGATTCGCTGAACTCTATCCACAAGTGAAAACACTATAGGGTCCTCCGTAACTTTTAACCACGTTCAGTATCCGACCATATACCGCTCCGCGAGTGAATGCACAGGCAATTTACGCTAATTATTCCATATATTATGATATTGTGATACCAAAAGAGCCAACTTACTTGTGTAGACTGAATAGGGATACATCCTCACATTAGAACTACTTGAGTTGGTAGTAACTGTGCACGGAACAGAATTATGTCGCCCAATACACCCAGGGGGTGCCTGAGGCCAATCAGGTGTTCTCATAGTGGCAAGCATACAAGTGTCCTGTGCTATTTTCCTCCCGTACTGCATTTTCACGAATTCCCGATGCTCCGACATACAGGGAGTCCCAAGAGAAGGTAACTGTCTGTGCATGGTGGTGGCCTCTACCGCTGAGAGCAACCAGCCAGTGGTGACACGCTTCAAATGGACGTTACGCGAGGTTTTTCTGCTCCACTAATATATACAGACGAAAACGAAAATTGATGGTAAATATATACATCCACGGTAGCTTGAAAATGTTCCTCTGGCTGCGAAACTAAATCCGAGCCAACTCATGACACTCTGGACCCTCCCGTCATTCCCGGGGGGCGACCGACGCCTCAAATGTCAACGGACGCGCCAGGAATATTTCAAACAAATTTCCAGTTCAGAAGTGCCCCGTCCTAGACGCACACCCAAAATTTCTCTGAAACTGCGGTTCGAAAAAGAAGAACTTCTACATATTGGTTTAGCATTTGATGGTAATTATCAGGGCCCTTAAGCTCTCCCCACGCGGCCGCAGTTCTATTGGAAGTTGTTTAAACGAATTCGGAGTCCAATGAGGGGCAGAATTTGTATTTTAATGGCTGTCGGTGGCTGGGAGCATTCTCTTTATAAAAACTGTGTAAGGCAACGTTTGACTTCACCCATATACCGAGCCACCAATAGTGCCGTGGGGTGAACCATTGGATTTGTGAGTGGAACCAACAGACGGCACATTTAGAAGGCCACTGCTTTCAAGTCCTTGCGCAGATTAAATGGACTGAACCGGTCTTGTAGGTAACGCTCTAGTCCTATGTCTGATGTGTGAGTCTTGATGGCGCTAGTGCTTACAGCGCCTTGAAGAGCACTCAACATGGTTTGTCCATTTTTCGGTTGTTGGTCTTTAGACGCGTGTTTCCATATCAAAATGTTTACGTACGTTGGGATTCACCTCTTCTGACTGGAACTGTTGGTAGCATGAATTCGGAAGAGACGTTCCTCTGCTTTCTATCATATTCTGCTGTCGCTTGCATTCACATTTATGTTTCTGACCATGCTCTTGAAAAATAAATTATGAAATTATAAAATCATATTGGAGATATAGTGAACTACAGGCAAGCCATCAGACTGGGTATTGTAGTCACGGTGCCCTCATCGCGACACCGTACTTCGGTCTGTGGATAGCGCCGCACATGAACATCTTGGATGAGCTGTTTATGGCTGTCATTGTAGTTAGGATAATCTTGGGTCTATCGAGGTTTCGTGGTGGTTCACTGCTGACACTCAAGGGAGATAATAAAACAGCCATGCCTATATTTGAGACACAAAATAGGATAAATGTCGGAAGGGTTTGCTAGAAAACACTTTGATATGAATTAGAATGCCCCCGAAATAATAGACAGTCAAGTCATCACAATTCCTAACTTCTCCGATAGTGTGACACTTCCTGGTTAAAAGCGATCATCGATATTCAGGTATGCGATTGATGCGAACTGGAGTTAGTAGATGTCATTGTGTGATTATGAGGGACTTGCATTGACCAGATGTACGCAAATAAGTTAGCTCAGAGCTTGCAGACATAAGATCAGAGGTGCGTGCTTGTACGATGTGTCGACTTCAGCATCTGACTGTCACAGCCGAAAGAAAAGCGTGGAACCATGCAAAACCAGCTGTTTCTGATGCGTCATATGTGTTCGATGGGTCTCTGATAGCATTTCTTACTCTTCTATTAGTGATGATGTCAATTATGTCCTTTGGTGTGCACTTCGTACCCACAGTGCCACGTTATCATAATGATGCTTATTCCAACGGGTTGGTGGCGTACCGTCAGGCATGATCAGAAGATTACAGCCATAATAAAACGTGAGTTCGTTCGTATGTGCATGTAACGGAACAAGTGGGCGATAGGGTAAAGTCTAGATAGGGAAGTGCGTAGTTGCGAGTGTGCTCTCAAAGTGGGTATATCAGTGCCACACCGTCATTGCACTGAAACGTCCCGGTACCTCGATAGCCCCGTAACGGACGTCATTTTTGAGATGATTTGGCTTGGGTGTGCGATTCTGTGAGGAGGATGATATTTCTGCTTGGCCGAGGAAATCTCCAGGGTTAGAACAAAGCTCAGCTAAGATCTCAGGTTTTTTCTGATCCGGTTGGAGTGGTAGTGCGGCTCAGTGTTCTGCATATATTCGAAGCTGTGTTAGTTCTGATTGTAGTGTGGAAGATGTGGTCAATGCATGAACCTGCAATGCCCGGTTCGCGTTTGCTAATTTGAAGCACCTATGGTGTCAGGGCGGCATATCAGTGAATATCAAGTAATGCGTGTATCAGGCTGCAGTACGGACTGTTCTGTTGTATGGCTGAGGCCTGGCTTGTTTGAGAAGCGGAAACAAGGCGTTTTCAGGTGTTTGGCAGCATTTGCCTAAAAGCCATAGCTCGTGTGGGTCGGTGTCGGCGAATCCGTAAGGTGATGGCTACATGGTGATTTTTCAGTTGTGCACTGGGGATTTCCACTGAAGAATGTGTCCTTGCAGTCCCCAGCTAAATCATCTTCATTATCTGTAACAGTTGGATCGCAACAGTTTTGGCTATCTTACAAGCTCATTTTTTCGGATGTAATCAAAATGATTTCAGAAGTGAAGATGGGTTGTGTAGCGACCGTTTCGAATTCTTGAACAACAAGCACCAGTGTTAGTAACCAAACCGGCGAAACTCCGAACGAATGCCTACGCAGATATGGTGTACTATAAAAATGAATGTAGTTACATGGAATACTAAATTGCAAACCTCAATGGTTTTCGACAAACGATGAGGTACTCCAAAAGGCAAGCAATGCCGATATGGATCAACAGTCAACGCGTGAACGAAAGTGGCCCACAAACTAGTGCATTAAAACAAACTTACAGTTAACCAAGGTTTTGGTACAAAAATAGTATAACCAAAGCGGTAAAAACGATTTGCGCGGTAAGGAAGACGGAAAATATAAATGTCCTGCGGAACTAAAGGTAGGATTCAACTACACCGGTCCAAAAAGAGGCGGTTCATTTGAATTGTTGACCGGGGAGGCAGTCATTCAAGATGGGAGGCAATTTTAAATATATACGAAGTTGCAACAGGCTGCAATGTTTCAACATGAACGATGAGTTGGATGAAGCCCAGAAGGGTGCCGCTTGTTGGCTGGACTGACAACGTAGTTGAGTAAGTGATGGTTGCGTGCTTCGATGAGGAAGATCGGGCTGTCGATTTTACTAAACCGCATTGTATCGGTATTGATGAGCAGAAATCGAATGAAGTTGAGATTCAGTGCCCTGAATGAGCGGATTTGACACCAGGCACCCGCAGATCCACTAGACCTTCGCTACGGCTGCATCCATGGGTGCACGTTTGAGGACGCGTGTGGTCCTTGGACCTTAGGGCCCAAGCCTACACCACTTGGTCCTACGACTGAAAAGTAAACGCCCCTCTTCAGCTTTACCTTCACCGCGCCCAATAACTCATATGGTTACTGAATCCCGCCATCAAATCATCAATGTACACAAGGCTCCCTCGTGATCGCAAATTGGACTGGTTGAGCAAATAGTGAGTTTACCTTTATAACAGCGAGTCTCCAGGTTCAGCGCGGACACCGGTATTAATTTTGGACAAGGGGCCTGGCAGTTTCTATAAGTAGACTTAGCAGGCGACATCGAGTACAGTTATGGGTATGACGGGCTACTGGGCATAGTTGAAGCTTTATACTCAGCGTTGCACATAGACACAGGCCTTGCAATTACGATAAGTAGCCAGGGCAGGCGATATCGACTACTGTTACGAGCGTGACGGGCCACTTTTGGTCGTTAAATTAAGATGTCACACATAGTTGTAACCTGGTTTCTATCGGCCCGCATGGATAATGGCTTGGTGTTTACTATAGGTGGCAGGCAGGTACTGCAGTGAAGATCGGTGTTGAACACTGACGTCATGCTCTTGATGATGATGGTATGGGTAGCAGACATAAGCGAGAGCACGCAAGTTATGGATATGACAGGCCAACGTTGGCATTTGAATTAGGACACCGCGCATAGCTGAGGCCTAATAATCAGTGTCGCATATGGGCGCTGGCCTAACAGTTTCAAAAAGTAGTCAAGGTAGGCGATGCAATGTTTCAACATGAACGATGAGTTGGATGAAGCCCAGAAGGGTGCCGCTTGTTGGCTGGACTGACAACGTAGTTGAGTAAGTGATGGTTGCGTGCTTCGATGAGGAAGATCGGGCTGTCGATTTTACTAAACCGCATTGTATCGGTATTGATGAGCAGAAATCGAATGAAGTTGAGATTCAGTGCCCTGAATGAGCGGATTTGACACCAGGCACCCGCAGATCCACTAGACCTTCGCTACGGCTGCATCCATGGGTGCACGTTTGAGGACGCGTGTGGTCCTTGGACCTTAGGGCCCAAGCCTACACCACTTGGTCCTACGACTGAAAAGTAAACGCCCCTCTTCAGCTTTACCTTCACCGCGCCCAATAACTCATATGGTTACTGAATCCCGCCATCAAATCATCAATGTACACAAGGCTCCCTCGTGATCGCAAATTGGACTGGTTGAGCAAATAGTGAGTTTACCTTTATAACAGCGAGTCTCCAGGTTCAGCGCGGACACCGGTATTAATTTTGGACAAGGGGCCTGGCAGTTTCTATAAGTAGACTTAGCAGGCGACATCGAGTACAGTTATGGGTATGACGGGCTACTGGGCATAGTTGAAGCTTTATACTCAGCGTTGCACATAGACACAGGCCTTGCAATTACGATAAGTAGCCAGGGCAGGCGATATCGACTACTGTTACGAGCGTGACGGGCCACTTTTGGTCGTTAAATTAAGATGTCACACATAGTTGTAACCTGGTTTCTATCGGCCCGCATGGATAATGGCTTGGTGTTTACTATAGGTGGCAGGCAGGTACTGCAGTGAAGATCGGTGTTGAACACTGACGTCATGCTCTTGATGATGATGGTATGGGTAGCAGACATAAGCGAGAGCACGCAAGTTATGGATATGACAGGCCAACGTTGGCATTTGAATTAGGACACCGCGCATAGCTGAGGCCTAATAATCAGTGTCGCATATGGGCGCTGGCCTAACAGTTTCAAAAAGTAGTCAAGGTAGGCGATACCGCGCATAGTTTTGAGTATGGGGTTAGTCGTTCGCCATTAGATTAGGTGTGTATGCACAAGAACACGGACTCAACAGGTAATATCAATAGCCAAGTTAGGTGACTTCGAGTGCGTTTGTGAGCATAACAGGCTGTCGGGTGAGGCCATCACGCATAGTTGAGGCCTTATTTTTACCGGTCGGCATATATATTCGACTGATGTTTCCATGCATG